AAGACCCAAAGAAAAAAAAAAACCCAAAAAAAAAATCCACCCTTTTGGAAAAGTCGGCGTGCGGTCGAGAGCCTCATGGCCCATGGAAGATCTCGACCGTGCGGCCTCGCACACTTGCTATGCGACTCTGCGCCCCGTATCGAGAGTCGTCCTTGTGTCGCAGTCAGGAACCTCCACATAAAGCCCTATACCGAGCGAAATCGAGACCTCGATGCCGTGGGAAGTGACGAAAGCTCGCATGGATGAGTGCTTCGTGCTTCGCATTTTGCATGGAGTCATTCGTTTGTGTAGGCCTATGCAGGGCCTATAGGCAGGGCTTTGTGGGGCCTTTCTAGGGTTGGGGCTCTCGGTGCTTCAGCTTTCCTTGGAAGCCATTGAGCACTTTTTTCCAGCAGCAGCCTTGGGAGGAGGTGAAGCATGAGCCTTTGCTCCAGTGGTGGTGGGTTGGTGCGGCTCTTGAGCTGCGAACCAACAAAGGCGGACTTCCCGGGGGCTGCGTAAGAGCTCTTCGGGTGAAGCTTGTCAGCTGCTTCTGAACGAGTCGGATTTGCACAGGGCTGCTCTGCAGGGATTCACCAGATGTCCGAATGGTACGTATGAGATAGTTGGCTGCGCTCATCGCTGTGTGAGTCAAGTTGACAATTTGCAAGCACAGCTTCTTTTGAAGGGGAGAGAGGCCGATGCTGCTGGCTAACTAGCCTTGCAGCCATCCAGAGCCCGTGGTACATTGTCGAGTCGGATGCAGTCCGTGCTGGGTAACCCCAGCTTGCTGACAACACACAGAGAGCACCCGAGCCAGTCGAAGCACCGGGCATCACGTGACGCGATTGCTTTACAGGTCGTTCGCTTCAGGCTCTTGGCACCTGGTCCTCGGGCTTCGAGGCGAGACCAGTCCCGGAAGCAGAAGTAATGGCTACCTTTTCTGAAGCATCGGTTTCAGGAGGAATCCTGTGGATTCAAGAAACTTGTCAGCACGCGAGCCGCAAGGCAAACACTGACGTTTTTACCGCCTCACCGGGCTGCGCCGTGCTTGGACTCCGCCTGCACAACGGACGCCACACGGCCTGTGTTTTGGAGACCGGTCAGAACGTTGCACGGTGTCGATTCAGCTATTTGCTCCTCATGCGGCAGGTAACACCCCCAAGAAAGAACTCCAAGCACCAGACGTGACGAGCACCGTGTTTGTCGCAAATCCGAGGATGCCATGGAATTGTTGAAGGCCCTGCTCCGGAGGTTGATGAGCTCGAGCTGACCCATGGCAGGCATAAACCAAGGTAGAGTCTTTTGCGTGCTCAACAGTGTGAGCTGGAACTTTCGGTTTCAGGAAACCACACACGAGAACACCAGACATTTCTCGAAGCGTTTCCGTTGGCACAGACCAGATTGCCAGAGGCTAGGTTAGGACCTGCGTTCAATGCACCGTGGACCGAAGCCTTAAGACATGACACTGCCCCCGGAGATGCTTGAGTTTGAGGAAGCTTTGGGCCGTATATTGGCTGGCGGAGGGCAGCGCAGATGACGAGATCCAGAGCCGAAACTTTGTAGGCCGCGGGCGTTTGGAACCGGGAGCGGCTGTGCCAAAGGGAGCTTTATCAAACAAGGATCTTAGTCTTAGTCAAGAGGGGACCTTGGTTGCGTTTCAGAAGCCGGAGCAGCACCGACAGACGATGAGGGGTCAAAGCCAAGTGTCTGCGGGCAAAGACTTACCTCTGTGACCCTTTCGTCCTGCAGGCCACAGCTCAACTTAGAGGGTCGCTTCTGTCTCTTTTGTCAGGTCGGGAGTCCGCTTTTAGCTTCGCCGAGCGAGTCGGTGGAGGCCACGAAATGGCGTGGCAATGCGGACCCCTGAGGCTGCGGCTGGGAGCACTCGGCTTTCACCTAGAGTGACAGAAACAATCTAAGCTGCGGTGGACGGATCGCCGTCACCGTTGCCTCTATTGCTGCTGTGTCACCTTTTGCTGGTTGTTTGTTGTTGTCTTGAGCCATCTTGAGCCTGAAGAGGTCTTCATGCCTCGGAGCCCCGTGGAAGAATCAAGAACTGCTACTTTTGATGCCGAACCCCGAGAGGGAAAAAACTCTATGAATATTGTGCATGTATGCTTCTCTGCGTAGACCTTGTGCATGTATATACGCATAATGATAGACAGACACAGACAGACAGACAGACAGACGTACCATGCATTTACCGAGCTACCTAACTACGTACGCAAACACATACATTCGTCAGTCATAATTGCATGCATACGTGCATACATGCTTACTTGCTTACTTCCTCCCTGGCTCACAAGCAAGCAAGGCATGCGAGCATCCGTGCATTATACAGTCGTAATAGCTACGTACGTACGTACGCGAGAGCGTGCATGGCTGCATGCATGCATGCATTGATGCCTTCATGCATCCTTGCATCCGCTCTTGTCATGGTTTCCGTATTGCTTCCGCGATGCACAGCCTAGCAGGGCCTAGCAAGCCTGCAGTGAGTTAAATTTATGCAAGGCTGCACTATGTATCTGCTGAATTGTATAGTGTTGTACAGTGTACTAAGAGCTGTTGTGGGTAGGAATTTACAAAGCACCCGGTGCGAGCGCCAACACACGTTACACGTCGCGTCTTACGCAAGTGACCATCTCGCAGCACCTTCCAGAATTGAGCCCAAAACAGCAAGCCCCGAAGCCTGAAAACCGGAGGCTTTCCATCTCCGACCACCCATGGCTGGACTGCTTCCGGGACCTGCGAGAGCTGCTACAGCCGGCGAGGCTGGCAGCACTGGAGGCCGATCCCAGAAACTCCAAGGAGTCAAGGAAAATATCCGGGGGTTTTGGGCTGCGCCTGATCGTGTCTGAGGTTCTTCGAGAATATTGTGTCATGTTGCATCGTTGTGCCTGTCTATAAAAAACTGGAACATAAAAGGCAACGGGGCCTATGTTAGGTCTTGCTGGTTGAGACAAAGGATCTGGTGCGTGATTTGAAGTCAAGTTCCGTCTAGCCGCCGGCAGAGACCATCATGGTTCGCACAGGTTCACATGCGTCCGTGTTTGCGAGGCACGCGAGGTCGCAGCACAGAGCGAGTCCTACGTGGAGTTTGCGACAGGGGAGCGCTTCGCAGCAGGCCAGCTCCGCTGAGTGGATTTGTGTTTGAGCATCTTGCAGAAGAAGCGGTACTGTATGCTGGCTTCCCTATTTCTGCAACCTCCATGTTCCAAGATTCTAAGATTGCCACGTTGGAGCTGCACTTGCCGTTTCTGAGGAGTTGGGCCATTGGTTTCAACAAGAGCAGGAATCCAGAACAGAACACTCCCGGGTCCCCTCCAATCACCCTTGTCTGCCCTGAATTCTCCAGGCATCGTCCTTGACTTGGTCAAGACGTCGCGCGTCAAGGCCGCGGCAGAGCGGGGCAGAAGCCGTGATCCATGCCGAGAGGTTTGGGACAAAGACTTTCCAGATGTTCAAAACTGACAATAACAGCCCTAGCTAGCTGATTGATCATGATCGAATACACTGAGCTTATCAGAGGAAGACCTCGACTAGTAGGGTAACATGCTACCAACGCCGAATTTCAAGCTAGAGACCGCCCCGGCAGCTAGCCCTGATTGAAGCCCCTTCCGTGGAAGCATTGCAACAACTGGTAACAATAGGTCCAATAGGTTTCTAACATTCAGACAGGGGGCGATTGTCTTATCACGGGCTTCAATGTAGGTAGCCTCCTTGCAGTAAAAAGAGCAGGCCTGGGGACCTCATGCTCGTCGCAAGAAGTGTGAGGAGCTGGCAGCCGACACTCGACGAAAGCGTAGCCTTGCCTTTGATGCGCACGGTTCCGAATGACCGGGAGATATGGAGCAGAACGGCAGCAAAGAAGCCCTTGAAAAGAGGTTTGCGGTTCAACGCTCGAGCAGGGAGCATAATAGCAAGAGACACCTCGGCTCAAAGTATCGGGTGCAAAACAGACGTTGCGAGCGAGATCGCTCGTTCTCGAGGAGGAGCCGCAATAAGACAATTTGCAGGTCAGGACTCGGAGCTGAGGGAGAAACAGATATGTTAAAGCAGAACTCACATAAAGAGAGCAAGGTTCGCAGGGAATAGATTTTTGACGCGATTGACTCCAGGTCGAGAATGAGAGCAAGTCGAAGGGAAGATATGGATCAGACAGCCCTTGCAGATGAATTGCAAACCAGGTTTGGCCAAGCATGAAAGCTGTAGTTGCGAGGCAAGCGTTCTGGTCTTAAGTCTTTAAGTGCATGCGGAAGTGCACGGTTCTGAGTTTAAACTTCTTTTCAGGCACACTTGCTCCGGGCTGGCACCCGGCATGTCAAGACCAGCACTGGGGAACCAAAGCTGTAGCAGGCTTCTCGGGGCGCTGTGCTGAGGAACAGGGTCAGTTCAACCTCAAACGCTGGCGCGACATGTCCGTCTCCTTCGCGGAGATCATGCACAGAATTCAGCCGGGGGCGCAGCAAGGGCAATCAATGCATGGCAAGCAGGCTTTAAGAGGGTTGAAGTCGAGGAAAGTTTCCATGAAGCCACACAATGGCAAGGTCGGTGAAGCCGACACTGGCCCGTCTTGTGGCCATGATGGACTTGAGACGGCACCTTTTCAGGCCTGTGGAGCGAGACATGGGTTGTGACACTCGCAGCTGCACTTGGCAAGGACGCTGTTCACAGCAGCCATTGCAGCGGTCATGAGCACTTGCGACAGCGTGACCTGGCTTCATGGCCATGTGTTTCAGATTGCTTTGCGCGTTGTGTGATGGTCCGGAAGGTTTGAGTTTCACCCATGGGAAACCTTGCAAAATCCGGAACCTGAACAAGACTAATTACGTGCCCATTGGTTTCCCACACATCCGGTAGTCAGCTTTCCAATTCTGTGCGACACACCGGCTGCCGGCCCATATCAAGCCACCATATTTGTGTAGCCTAGGGCCTAAGATGTTCGTTGGACAGAAGAGGGTTCCTGAGCCGGCTTGGTGCCTGAAGGTCAAGACGGTGCTGTCCGGTGCGGTGTTCACGCTGATCAATGCAAGCATGCTGGCAGCATCCGAATTTTAAGATGCCTGTGAGGCCATGCTGCCGATGGCTATGTGGTGTGTCAGGTTCGGCTTTTCAAGTCCCGGCTTTGGTCAAGACTCCACTCATCGGGACTGCGGGTTGGAGCTTAATTGGGGGGCGGTGTTAGGGTGTTGAAGTCGCATTCCAGAAGCTGCGCCCACGGGCTTATGATTTCACAGAAGCTGAATGCTGCTCCTGAGGCCAAGAAGAGGTTAAGAAGGACAGCCAGTACCTGCATGCCATTTGCTCCTGGACTTTCGGCTGTGGCTCCCGCACCTTTCTCGCAATGATGGTGCCCCTCTCGGCTCTTTTCATGATTGCATCTCGGGGATCCCCACAGCCCAAAGGTCTGCTACCTGCTTGGCACAAGGAAGACAGCGTAGCCCATCAAAACAGGAAGTCTGCATGGCAGTGCTGGGTTTCTTGTGGGGCAAAAGACGATGCGATACATTAGTCAATGCAAGAAGCCCAGAAAGCAGAGCACACTGCGTCCAAGGACTCTCCCTGGCCAAGAGTTTGATCCTTGGCCTGATGTTGCTGCTGGGCTGTTATAGCTTCAGGAGTCGGGTGGTGTTGGCCAGGTGTGTTTGTTGACATCTCTTTTGCGCGGCTTGACGGGTCGCAGGCAGGACTTCGCTCGCTTCCTGAGAAGTCCGCTTCTCTGAACTGCACCAGGTCTCTTACATGTGGCCTTGGCCTCACTGCACTGTGCCACAAACCGAAAGGGAGCTCTGGATTTGTTGCTTGTTTGGATGGTGTCTTCTGGCTCTTGGCAAAGGCTAAACCCGAATTGTATCTCGGGAGGGGGCTGGGATATTTTTTTTGAGCGAATCAGTGGGGAGTGCCCTCACCAGGCCCACTCTCCACGGTCAAAATCTTGGTCGCGGGGGCGTAGAAGTTTGGGGAGTGGGTGGGTTAAGATTAAGATGGAGGGGAAAGGGGTTCCCGGACAGGAGAGGAGGGAACCTTTGACTGCTTCGGTCGGGGCTGAGGCGAATTTAACTCCGACCTTTCAAAAGGAATTGAAGCTCGTAGTCCACCATAATGTTCGCATTCATACATTCTCACTTCATTAAAAGTGCTCTTAACGGCCCGAGGTGGGGCACTTGAATCAATCCGCGAAGCAAGCGTTCAAGTAACCTTTCCCGACCAGCGAAATGGGACAAGCCCAGCCAGAACAAGAAATCCCAAAGCCTGAGACCCCCCCCCCAATTGCCGGTCCCAGGCTTGCAGTCGTGAAAGGCACCGTCCACGTCGTGTCACAACATGTGGCCAAGGCTTTCAAGGATGGGGAGAGTTGCTCTGCTATGCTTGCAAACTTGCAAGTGTAGGGCAGGGATGATGACTCGACAGAGCTGAAACAGCATAAGCACCCTTGGTGTAGACGTCCTGCGTGGAGGCGAACTTGCCTTCAGTCAGGGCTAGTTAATGCCGATGCTGTGGAAAAGTTGGTTCACCTCGGGCAGGCAGTGTTTGCCTAAGGTAGAACGTCGGATTCCTTGACATCTCAATCCAGGACTCCTACCGCGTGCAGACTCGAACGGAACTCTTCGATCATTTGCTTGCCCAAGACTTGGCTGCTTGGTCGCCGTCAGTTCGCAGTGCAGGTCAGCCCTGTTTTGGTGGGCCCCGTGCGTTGAAAGTGAATTGAGAGTGTTTGGTTTGGGGCATGCTCGTTGTGGTACTCTACAGTTTGTTCGCCGGTGGTCATCAGCAACTTCCTCACAATTGAGGAAGAGTTCGAAAAGCAGACGGCGCGGGTCATGGCCCATAAAGCTTCGCCGGTGGTGTTTCTGCTGCACACGGGCAAGGAAGCAACATCAGCAATAATGATACCGTTAAGAGCAGCACAAGTCCCAGGTGAAGGCTCTTTTAGGTTACTCCGGGTACGGGGCTGACGTGGACAGGAGGGAATCAGAATTAGGGGCTTGCGGGAGTCGTTTTGGAAACTTCGCTTCGGGGGGCCCAGACGATCCAGGGTCTCATCACTTCCTAGGTACGCAGTTAAAGCAGCAAGGAGCAAAGGCAGGGTGGGCGCAAAAGATCGAATCAGATGAAGCAGAGTCAAGCTTAGACTATTAAGGCCCACCCCCCCACCCATCTCTCCCTTCGTAGCGCGTAGCCTGTTCTTGCGATTGCTTCTTGCAGGATGTGCAATGCGTAAGTTGAGCTCTTGTCTTTTTTCAACGACGTCCAGACTGCTTCTCTTGAGTAGCTGGAGACTGGAGACCATCTGTCCTCAGTGGGAACAAGACGGCCGCACGTCCGTCAGGAAAGTGGCAAGTCAGAGATAAGATAGGGGAAAAGCAGAAAGAGGCACCATCCATTTCTGTTGCCTCCTACAAATATAGCCTCACCATTGCTCTTTCATGTCAAAGTCAAGCGGTCGAAGATTGAGCCACGTCAGCCCTTTGCAACCGTGCACCCTTGCCATTATTAAGCGATGGGCAGTGCCGTTGGCAGAGTGTGCCCAAGCTTTCATGGACCCGATCTCGGATTGACAATTGCAGCCGACGGGACTTGCACACATTTGGCGATCTAGCTATCTAGCTGTACTGATCACGTGACGGCAGGCCGAGAGTGCACAGTGTAACCCGTGACGTCACGTCGGCTCATGTCGGTAGTATGTCACTCAAGTAGCCGGAAGTTGCACAAGTGGTACCAGTCCCGTAGGAGCCAAGAAAGCGCCGATGCTCGAAGAGGCATTACGCGCCGCCCAAGGTCATGGACAGCATGCCGAACATGGTGACAAACATGGTTCGCACGGTTACCGAGCTGCTAACGTTGCTCGGCTTGCCTTCCCGGTTCCGAAGATGCAGCGTAGAAGGCTTCTACTTTCAAGAAGATCCTTTGTGCGCATGTTATCCTCCCAGCGTTCGCAGGCCCAAGACCACACAAGGAGACCCGCTGCCAAACCTAGGTCGCTGATCTTCCTTTACTCGTCTCTCGGCCTTGCTCTCGATTTGGGCGCTTGTCTTGGGTCTGAATGGCTGACGGCTTGCAAGCAACCCGTCTTGCGTTGAGTGGATTCTCAGGATTTCGCCGCTGATGACATTTATGTATGCAACTGCGGTTCCTGCCTTCCAAGTGGCAGCGCAGGCATACCTTAGAAATTTGGACAGCAGCAGAGGTTGCTTGGGGCAAAACGGACAGAAGCTAAATGTCTCGTGCTCCCAGCTTTGAAACTTGAGATTTGCATCACAGGTTCTGTGTGCATTCGGAGCTCCAGGAAAGCAAGCGCAGGGCAGCCAGAGACGTGAGCGGGGTCTGGAAAATGTGGCGAATCGCGTCGTGGGGGAGGCCTGTGAGATGATCAAGGTGGACACTTGGTTTGAATGGTTTCCATGCTCGGCTGAATCATTTCTTACAGTTCTACAAGAGAACGTGTTCAGCCCACACAGCTAGGGGAGAGAGAGAGAGAGAGAGAGAGAGACAGCGGGCCTCATCTTTTTCCTTAGAGCCGACCGACGACAGACAGGGCGCATTCGTGCGCGAGGGTGGGGG